TTAGATAGATTGTGTAAATTTTTTATTATTGTTATATGATAATTTGGTTTTGTTATTACATCTTTATTATTAGTTTAATAAATTAATATTTAAGTATATATGATCGACTAATCAAATTCAATCACATGAATTATGTAATTAACAATTAATATTGATTGATCATATAATTTATATAATTATATTTAATTGGTCAATTATAGGGTTGCTATAGCAATAAGTTGCTATAAACTATAAATGTTCTATAGAAAGATGAGCAATATAAGAAATAAACTTCACTAATAATTAGTAATCATTAATTTTTTAATAGCAGAATTGCAAAGTTTGTTAAGTTTGCTCACCTGTTTTATAAAATATCCTAAACTAACACACTTATTTATATATTTTTTTTGTTTATTTGAAATTAAGACAAAACAAAAATTATATGAATTTTATTTATAATTGTAACTAATATAACAAAACAAAAGCTTATTTATATAATTTTATATACTAAATGTAATTTATCTTAATAGTATTTAGTCTTTTTCTAGATTTTTAATTACTAAGAACTTATTTCTTATTGTTTATTAGCTAGCAGCTATACTGCTCATCAAAAAATATAAAAATAAAATAAAACAAACTAAAAAAATACAGATATAGAAAACTATAATAAAAATATATAAATAAGAAAAGAAGGTGTAAAAAGAATAGTTGATCTTTAGTATAGATGGACATATATAATTATTATACAATTATAATATATATACCTTAACTATTTGAAACTAAATTAGAGTTAGAGTTAAGAGTTAAGATTAGAATTTAAATTAACTCAAATTAGTTAAATTTTATATATTATAATCTTGTAATAATTTATATATACTCACCTATACTAAAAAAGATCTAAAAAAATATTAAAACAAAAACAAAAATAAAAATATTTTGCTTATTCTAATACTACTATTATTAGCTCACAGTTGGCTTAAAAAAATTATATACTACTATACAAATTAGTTTTACTCAATATTTATTTAATTAGCATATTAAAGTAAAAATATTTAAAAAAAACTTCATCAATTAGCAAGTTGTAGAAAGATTAAAGCAAAGTTTTAGAGTATTATTTGTATAAATATTTATATATTCAAGACATATTTATATATGTTTATTGTTATAGCTATTTGCTGCTAGTATTTACTAGTAAACATATGATTAAAAAATCTATTTTAGTTGTGTTTTATCTGATTTGAAAGATAAACAATAGAGATTGAAACTAGTTTTATTAATTTGAATTTGTTATATGAATTTTGTGATATTTTAAATTAAATTTTAATAAATTCTAAAATATCATAAAATTTATATAATAAATCTGAATTATTAAAACCAGTTTTAACTTCTAATAAATAATATTAACTTGTTTGATACATATAATGTTAATCATTTAAAAAAATAAATTAAAATACATATTTTTTATAAAAATTTTTCAAAAAAAAGTAGTAAGCCAATATATGTATATAAGATTTTTCTTATATGTTTTATAATTGTATAGTTTAACTTAGTTTTTATTTAATATTTTTGATTAGATTTTGTTCTATTTGTTTTTAAAATAAACTTCTGGTTTAAATACCAAATATGCAAAGAAAAGAAAGTTTGATCCAAGGTACAAACCTGTTTAATATTTTTATGTATCTGCTTCTTAGTATTTTATATTGTTATATTAGTAGATTTTATTACCATATTTTTTTTTATAATTCGGCTGTCCTGCCACTTTTATTGAGATTAAACTATACTAAGAAATTTATATTCCCTAATAATAGCTATAACTAATCTACCATAAAGTGACGTACCCATGCTTTCGCCAGGTATGACCTGCCTCAGTAAACTTTAAGCCTCTCTCTAGGCCCCTAACTCACTAAAGGTTATCCTTTGGTTATGGGCTAGTATCACACACCATATCAAAGTTAGCTTTCCTTTTTCTAATATAAAATATAAACACAAATATAAAGGGCAAAATAAAAATAGAGAAATACTACAGCATCGAGTTCTGGTCTACCTAAATCAATAAAACCAAATAAAACAAATAACAAAAAAAAAAGAAAACAAAGAAAAGAAACAAAGATAGCACTATTAAACTCATGCTGGATTGTAAAAATTATATAGTACTACAAATAAACTAGACTAAACTTTACGCTAGTTATTTATGTCTATATCCAGGATGTAAAAATCTTAAAAACCATTCGGTCTTGAAGTAAAGCTCCAAGATCAAAACTTTTGGTGCTATCCCAACTAGGTCAGCAGGTTTTCTGCAGTGCTTCAAACATTATCACATTATCTACCACTATTCATCCCAAAGTAGACATGTATATATATACGTAACTTTCCTTTTTCAGCAGCTATTACTGTATCGATCTTTTGTTGGGGTATGCCATTTTTCTCACTTTTGGTGAAAATTTCGAAAAGTACAAAAAGTGGAGTTTAGTATAGGATTTCGGTTTGCAGATAACCTTAAACTTTGGTAAAGAACATGTTGAAAACTTGCTTGTTATTCTCTTTAGACCAACTATCATTAATTTCATCAGCAGAAGCAGAGCTTCTATTAAAATTTTTTGTATAATGATACCACCTTCTTGCCAGTTATCTTGTATACAAATGCTTTTAACTTGCATACTAAATATACAGAGGAGTCTGGAGGAAACATAGAAATCCTTGACTTCTATAAAAACCATTATTTGTAGTTGTCTCTTCTACTTTTCTCCAACAAGTTTCTGTTTTCGTTAGTTGTAAGTTTAGTACAAGTGATCATCAGGGAGAGTTGATTTTATTAGCATATTTTAGAAGATTTTATTAGTATATTTTATTAGTATAATTTATATTTATTATATGTTTATTTTTAGCTTTAGTTTAATAATAAAATTTTCGACAAATAGTATTAATTTTAATATAATATTAGGTATATTAACTGGTATATTAATAGGTACATTAACTAGTACGTTAACTGGTACATTAACTGGTATATTAACTGGGTTATTAAATAGATCATTAACTGAATTGTTAAAAAAGGATCATTAACTGGGTTGTTAAAAGAGTTGTTAATTGAGTTGTTAACTGGGTTGTTAACTAGGTTGTTAACTGGGTCGTTAACTGAATTGTCAACTGAGTTATTTATTAATAGTCCAAAAGATATAAAAATCCTGCCTTTTTCCTCAAAGCAGAGCAGACTGTCTCCTTCCTACTTTTAATTCCTTGTTATTTATAGTTTATTTTTTTGGAAGTGTAGCTATTGTTTACCTTCTTTTTATTGTGTTTAATAAAGTTTTTATTGTGTTTTTATTGTGTATTTAAAGTTAAACCATCACCTCTTCTTTTTTCTTTGAATATTTATTTTTGGTATATTGAGTTAAACCATTGTCTCTTCTCTCTTTTCTTGAATATTTTATTGTATTTTAAGATTAGAATCATCGCCTCTTTTCTTTATTTTTAGTTTATTGTTTTATTTTAAAGTTTCTTTTAGTTTTCTTTCTTATTTTTTTCTTGTTTGCAAACACATTCCTTAACCCTTTTATATGTTAAGTCAAGTAATATAGCTTTACTAAGACCCTGTATTGCTATATTACAATATATTGTAAACTTCATTAACAACAAGTTTGCTTATACAAAAACAAGAATATTATTGTGTTTACTTTGTTACTTTTCTATATTGTTTACTGTAATTTGGTTTAATTGTTGTTAATCAAAAGATCATCAAAAAGATTTAACTAAATATAATAATAATATTATATAATAATAAATTAACAATAATACTAATAATAAAATTAATAAGAAACCTTATTTTACAGTATAACATTACTAAATTATAAAATCCAAATTTGGCCTCACCTTTGAAGATTAAAAAAAAAATAAAATAAAATCCAAATTTAAAAATTTTTTTTTAATACTTCAAAAATATTTTTATTATACAAAAAAATGATTTACAAATAATTTACTTTAATCTAATATTTTGATTATGTAACTAAATATTGTGACGGATTAAAATTAAATAAGAGATAGTGTAAAATAGACAAGCCACCGAAAAATACAAATTTTTGGGGTGCACTTTTTTAGCATTTTTTAGGGTTAGGATCAGGGTTTATAGATAGATTTTATAATAAACAAGTATAAGTAGATTTTAAAGTGGCAAATAGAAACCTCTCATTTCATTTTAATCCGATTTCATTATGATCTGCGACAATTATTACTAGTTATTTGTAATAATAAAAATTATTATTTTGTAATATATATATATATATTACGAACCAAGTTGGTTTTTAGGACTTGACCCGAGTCAAAATGACCTCTAGCAAAATTTGCGGATTAGCGCGGGCCAAAATTACGTTGATGCCGGCCGAGGTTTTTTAATTGTTTAATTTGACCCGGGTCAAGTTTAAAAACCAACTTGACTCGCAACATATAACTACTTCATATTACAGGTAGTTTTTTATTACCACACACTATATAGTTGTAGAGATAGGATACAATTTTAAAAATTAAAAAGAAATTAGTTAAAATGGTTTTTAAAAATTCTGAACATTTTTACTTAATAATAAATCTAGCAAATCTCTAAAAAATCGCGATCCTTAGCTGCCCGAAAAATACCTGAACGTTTAAATGTTTCTTTTACAGCTTGGAATGGCTTATTTATTTTTTTTTTTATTTGCCTTATAGGATTAGTTGTTAACGTTATTACGTAGCAAAAGTTCGTGTAACGATTTTATCGAAAAAAGTTAGAGTTAGCTTTAAGATGATTGGTTAAAATCAAATTTATTATAACAATAATACTGTAAAGAGTATGCTCACATGAACTGGCCCAAAAACCGACACTACAAAGAATTTATTGGTATTTGTATGTGGCTTTCTACTTTTTTACTTCCAAAATAAATATCATTTATACAAGGACTTTGAGAATATTTATAAGAGAAAACGTCACATAAGGGTATTCAAATTGTCAAATTTTATTTGTCCCTTTAACACAGGAGATCCTCAGAAAACCATCAATGGCTACTAAAGCTGCTTACAAAAGATTGACCAAAGAATACCTGGCCGTCCAAAAGGTTAGAATTGTTACTTGTATTATTATTTTTTTGATGATTATTTAATTCATTATTTTATTTTACTTTATTTGATGCACCTGCTAGAATCCACCACCGTACATGATAGCAAAGCCGCTAGAAAAGAACATTCTTGAATGGTAATCATCAATATGGACTTAATCTTGGCCTAGATAGTATAACGATCGATTATTAGTCCAGTAACATACACATTCCTTTTATTAAAATAGTCATATGAGAAGGAAAAGTAATAAATTTAAATCTCTGTTTATTTAGGCTTTATGTTCTTCGAGGACCTCCTGAGACGCCTTATCATAATGGAGAGTACCATGGTAAGCATTGAGTGATTAAATTTCTTTACATCATGAATAATTCTAAAACGTGCTTATAAAAACTTTGTAAAAAATTTTATAGGAGTTTTATTGTTCCCACCAGAGTATCCTTTCAAACCTCCATCCATTCGTATGACGACACCTTCCGGTATTAAGAATTCATAAATTTATGAATTAACTAGCAGTCAAATATTTTTAAATAATCGCATTGATAATGTGTTGGTTTCTTAGGACGATTCCAACCTGACACAAGATTGTGTTTATCTATGTCGGATTTTCATCCAAGTACTTGGAATCCTAGTTGGAGTGTTGCAACTATTTTGACTGGATTACTGAGTTTTATGGTGTGTATAATTTTAGTGTAATTAAAATCACATTTTTACGAGTTAATTTATCGCTAGACAATTTTTTTTTTTCTTTGCAACGATTAGACCAGTAACGAAGCTACTACGGGGAGTATCAAAACGACAGATGCTGATAAAAAGATATATGCTGCACGTTCACATCAATTCAATTTGAATGATCCAAAGTTTAGAGGTATGCATGTAGAAAAAATTATAATATAATAAAAAAAAAGTAAAATAAAATGAATGAATAAAAAAAAGAAAAAAAAAGCATGTAACAATTTGGAATTTTAAAGAATTTAATCATAAATATTTTCTGATAACAATGATATATAGAATATTTTCCAGAACTTTGCATACCTGAGGCAGTGCCTGTCGAAATTCTTTATCCAATGTCATCATCTAGTAGCACATCCACGCAAACTTCTACTGACGCAACAAAATCAGCGAACCACGTTCCTCCGGCACAGCAACGAAATGACCATGGGACAGTCAACCAACGACTCATACCGGCAGCAAGAAATCAGAATTTACAGCGTAAAGTTCTTAATCGTGTTGAAAATCCTACTATACGCGGACATACGGAGCATGCTAATAACACGGCAAGGGTTAACGCTAACAATCCGCAAACCAACAATAATAACAATAACGTAGGCCAGCGACGGATTTTGGATCAGTGGCGTAAATGGATAATATTATCATTAGTGTGTCTCTACCTTGTTATAGCTAAATTACTATACCGATCCGAATCAGTCTCTGGAAGTCATGGTGAAGCTCCTCGAATGTGATTTTTTTATTAATTCCAATGACCATTCAAATGGTGAAAAGTAAATTCTCAGGTAAAAGGAAAAAAAAAAAAGAACACTAGTGTTACTTGCTTAGTTTCTTTATATGCGTCAAGGAGAAGTAGCTGTTTTCTTTGAAGTATCTGTAACGTTACTATGTTAGCGTTTAGTAAACAAGTTTGAAGTAGATTTTATATATACGTTTAAGAATTTACATACTTGTATAACTATCTATATTAGTATATTAAAAGTATAAGCTGTACGTTTTTTTCATTTTCATTAGTATTGCATTATTATTAGAATATAGAACAACTATATGCTCTTCGAATAAAGTTGAATTTTTAAATAATCAACTATAAATTCTTATTTTATGCCTGAAAAAAATTTTTTAAGATAAAACCTTTAAATTTATAAAAAATACGGACGAATTGTATGTAGATGTCACCAACCTTAAATAAATTAAGATCATTTGCAATTAACGTTGATTATAATGATTATAGGCATACTATAGTATATACAATATTCTGATATTATTAACATTGTACGATTTACAAGCAAAACACTACGTATTAATTTATTAAAATTATTCTGTTATTAGGAAACGGAAGATATTACGCAATAATTACCATATTATAATTTCAAAAATGTTTATAAATGCTAACGCTAATTAAGCATTTATCAGGCTTTGCAACCTTTAAATCGGAGTAATGCAAATATTTCTATATTCATAGTTTATGGAGCGAATGCATTATTAACAATAGAGCCTTTATTAGTTTATAAGGAAAGCAAATCAAGCAATGAGACCTCTTTATTACAAAAGCGTTACAATGCAAACGTACCCCCACATAACGATAACTTTAAAAGTTATTGTAATAAACCATTTCATGCGATAAACAAGTTTCTGTAGGTTTTGAAATTGGATCATAGGTCCAATCCTGCAAAGACCGGTTTAATAATGTTTATCGTTCTAAAATGGTCTATGAAAATGTATGTATGTATATGTATTCTATTAACTATATAACGGAAATTACAATGAAATACGCATATATTGAAGAATGAGTTAGGGAAGAAAAAGAATCGTAATTGTAAAAGTGAATTAAATGAATTGCATACATTTTTAACTTTTTTATTCTTGAAGCCTAGTACTTAACTGGTAAGAAGATGAGCGAAAAGGCGTTGAAGGCGCCGGCCACAAAAAATGAAGATCTAGGAAGCACGTGCAATAGTTCGGAGTTGTCTTCTAAGAAGAATCCATCCCTTACTTGGTTAATAAATATTTTGAACTAAAGCAGCGAGCCAATTGAATTCTCTTATTGAACCCAGGTGTTGCTATAAATGAATAGTAGTTATATCAAAAAAATCGTATTGGTATCAGTATCACAATAACAGAACTGTGCGCTTGAAATCAAGCATCCGTGGTTTCTGAGATGCAAGTTTATGTAAAATGAATTTATTTATGATAGAGAAGGTAATTTAATTATCCTGCCAAATAGCGTACGTATATAGTATTTTATTGTAGGACTTTATTATATGTGAAACCTTCCTTGTATTTAAGAACCTTCCTTGTATTTCAGTATTTAGGTTCATTCGGTTTTAATCATTAATCGGTTTTTATAATAGTTATTAAATTTACAAACCCGTTACGCCGATAAATTCCTATGTACGTACTTGTAATCTTTGTTATCCGATGCGGTTATACTGAATACTAATTGGTTGATAAAGTAAAAGGTATTTCCACTTATCGTAAGGATCTAAACAATAATGATACGTAAATAAAAGTTTTTATTGAAATGCGTCATTCAGATATTTTATATAGGTCATATTGTAATACATTCTGCTATTAATGTTTATTGTCAAGTTTCCATATAGATATGTTTGACAATTTCCAGTATAATTCGGGGTACAGAGACAACGCTGGTTTTATTAACGTGCAGTTTTTCAACAATATTGATATTGGTCTTTCAAAATAAATCTTGGATGCCCAGATTCGATTCTTGAATTTATTTTTTTTTGTTTGATTTGGTAAAACGATTCTTCCTTTAAAATCATAACGATAGCTATTTTTAGGTTTTTTATGAACTATTTCCTGTTAATGTTTGATCAACATGCATAATTAATGTATATTCATGTATTACACAAAATTGTACTAAACTAAAACGTAATTTGGTTTATGTAATTTATTCTAAATTAAAGTTGGTTCTAATTAGTTGTATTAATATTTATTAATTTTATTTTCGTCGACTTTTTAAAGTTCCGTCTTTATATCTTTATAAATACACTCTTTTAACTGAACCATATAATCTTCAAATATTTCTTTTTCGCATTATTCCTTTTTTTTCTTATTTTAATTCTACAGTCATTTAAGTCTTTTATTTTATTAATGCCTAAAACAAAAGTTTCCAAAAAAATGTCTCTCTCAAGGCAAAGGGTTTCGGCAAAACTTCGAAGCGGTTACGTTTTTTGTTATTATGTTTCCGGACATGGTATGGGATTTAAACGATTTCGGATCTCTTTTAAATTCATAAGGTTCTTGTTATATAAAATATTTTATATGTCTCTAA